CGGGCCGGGTGGGGGGCGCAGCCAATGAGCGGCGCGCGGCGCGGGCGGGGCGGGCTCTGGGGATGAGGTAGGATGGGGGAGGGCGCACCCGCGCGGCGGAGGCTCAGCCATAAACAAGCGCCCGGAGGACCGGCGCGGGAGTGGGGCGAGCGGGCGCGCGGAGCGGACACCGCGGACCTTGTGCTGCGCCACCGCGCCCACTCGGCGGCTCGGAGGCGGGGACCGGCCCGGACGCTGCGCCGCCGCAGGCGGCCGACGGGAAGGAGGAGGCGCCGCCGGCCCGGGCAGGAGCCGAGCGCAGCCGCCGCCACCGCCAGAAGTTTTGGGCTGAGCCGGAGCTGCCGGGAGGAAACTTTTTTTTTCTTTTTTCCCCCTCCCTCCCGGGAGGAGGAGGTGAAGAAGGAGGAGGGGACGCCACCGCTGCCGCCGGCGCCAACGCTCGCGGGCTCGGGGTCGCCGCGGCCCGCAGAGGGGGCGGGGGCCTCGCCCCGCAGGGGAGGCGCGCCCGGGGGCCCCGAGGGAAAGCGGGCACCGCGGGCTGCGGGCCCCGCTCCCGGCCCGGCTGCGAGGAGCCGGCGGCGCAGGAGGATGTACTTGGTGGCGGGGGGCAGGGGGCTGGCCGGCTGCGGGCACCTCCCGGTCTCGCTGCTGGGGCTGCTGCTGCTCCTGGCGCGCTCCGGCACCCGGGCGCTGGTCTGCCTGCCCTGCGACGAGTCCAAGTGCGAGGAGCCCCGGAGCTGCCCGGGGAGCATCGTGCAGGGCGTCTGCGGCTGCTGCTACATGTGCGCCCGCCAGAGGAACGAGAGCTGCGGCGGCGCCTACGGGCTGCACGGAGCCTGCGACCGGGGGCTGCGCTGTGTCATCCGGCCCCCGCTGCACGGCGACTCCATCACCGAGTATGAAGTGGGCGTCTGCGAAGGTACGGCCGCCCGCCCGCCGCGGGCCCCCTCGTCGCTGGCTGCGCCCAACAAAGTTTGGCTGAGACTTTGCCGAGGCGCGAGGGCTCCGCGGGAGGAGGGGCGGCCGTCGTCCCCGGGAGGTTCCCCGGCGCCTCTATGCTCCGGCTCCCAGAATCGGGACTCTCAACCCGCAGCGGACAGGGCTGGTTCCGCGCCCCGAGGGGCGATGCGGGATCGCTCCCCACCCCGGCCCCGCACACATACCGGTGGCGGTCCTCCGCCCTTTCTGGGTGGCGCGCCCTCGCCTGGAGGAGGGGGTGCGCGCCGGCCGGGCGAGGGGCACTGCGGAGGCTGCAGCGCGCAAGCCCCTCGAAGGGCACCCCGCTGCCCTCCCTGCATAGCGCAGTGTGCTGCTGGGTGGGCACTGCACCCGGGCCGGCCGCGCGGGAGACGTGTCTTTAGTGCACACTCTCCCTGCGTGACTCTTGTATTATTTTTTCCCTTGGGCTCTTCTTTCACCGCCTTCCTCCTCTTCCACATGTAAATCAGTTTCAGCCCCGGAATATGACAACCCAGGCGGAGTTCCACACGCTGGTTACTCATTGATTTGTCCATTGAAATTGGTCAAAGGCTTTCTCTCCCGAAAGGAAAGGGGAGGGTGGGTTGGGGTCGGAGGAGGTGCACCTGGGAGTAAAAAGTTGTTCCTGACTATCAGAGGATCTTTTTTTTAAAACAACAACAACAACAACAAAAAAAAAAAATCCGCAATCCTCGTGGTTCGGATTACTTGGCCTGCGCCTTCGTTTTGTTTGACAGCGGGTACTGACCTGATGGCTACTCCCCCGCACGGGGGGCACCTGTGTGGAGACTGACCAAGGGAGGGAGATTAGATTGGTGGGGCTCTGATCGGTGTGTTTAGGCCTCTGCCTTTGCCCGCTTGCCTCTGCCTTGGGGTGCCTGGTGTGCTTTGGGGTCTAGAGAGAGGCAGTGAGTTCCTATCTAGCCAATGGGCTAGACTCTGAGCGCCGGTGAAAAGTAGGGTGGTCCCTGCTCAGGCTGACGTTGGGGGCGACGCTGTTCCGGGCATCCTGGTGAGTGAGTGAGATAGTGCCACAGCCTTAGACCAGGGGCAGCGGTGAGGAGGGATGGAAGCTCCTCGGTCCTTCTACTCAAGGCCAACATCTAAGAGAAGCATCTTTCTGTGTGTTTGTGTTTGTTTATTGTGCTGGGATGCTAAAAAGGAGGTATCAAGCTGAAGGATAAACATGGATCTAATAATCTCCAGGGCTCGGTTTCTCTTAAAATATACACGTATTTATTTTTACCTGTAATTTTTAGGGTTTGGACAATTTTGGAAAATCAGGGACGTCTTTCTGGTTTGGAAGCTAGTGGGCGGTAAAGAGTGATGGCGACGCGAATCCGAGGCCAGGGCGGTGCTCGGCTGCACCCTTAGGATACTGGCTAGAGAGCCTTATTTGCTGGAAACAGGAAGTCTCTTCACCTGGGGTGAAGTCCCACTTAATAACAGGGTTATGTGTTGCACAGAACATCATCTAATTAATTCGGGTACAGTTATGTGCATTTGACTTTGGCAATTCGGAATGACTTGGACTGAAAGATGCATCTGTGAGCTGTGCCTCTTGGGTGGATAACTAGACCCAGCCTTCCATAAGTAAGCAAAGAACAAGCCATACAAAATAAGGTTAAAAGCAGTGGAAACTGGTGTGTGTTGCGAAGGACCTTTGAAGACTATTTGAATGCTTGTTCTTAATATGTTTCTGGTAAAGGAAATGCTCAGAACAGTTACAGTAATCAAGTGTTTTGGCAGCGGAATCGCATGTCACACTGTGGAGCTATTTGGCAGTTCCTTGGTGAGCCTTTCATTCCTCTGAACTGATGCGAACCTCATGGCTTCCTTTCTTCTGGTAACATCCGTGCACTTGGTGTTAGCCTTTAAAATGCTCGGGACTATTTCTTGACATGATTGTATCTCAATTAGTGTCCTTCTTCACTTTGCATTTAACAGATCTGTTTTCACCTACCAAAATAGTGTGCTCAAGGAACTGCCCTTTAAAAAAAAAAAAAAAAAAAGAATTTTAAAAGCAGCAATCAAGTTGCATGCTAAAGCCATGAAACTAAGATAGAGACAGTGGTTCTTGGCGTGACATAATGGTTGGTCTTAGATGTTTTCAACTGTGTGTCTAAAAGTTGAAATATTTTCACCTTGCTACAAGACTTACAAGAACAAATGAGTAATGTTCTTTTCTTCCTTTTTTAGGATTAGAGGAGCCTTTACTTGTTACTATTTAGCTCGAGAGCTCTTTCTTTTCTTACTTTTTTACCCAAAATTTCTCAATGGCCAGTGTTTCCCGCAGTCTCCATTTTTATTCAGAAATTCCTGTGTGTGATTATCATAACTAAAATGAATAGCAGTTGTCATATTTTATTCATGGTGAAGTTTCTTGTGCTGCAATTTTTGCACTAAAATGACCCCTACTGGTTGTATCTGTTAATGAAAAGTGTTCTTGAAAACTTTAGTTGGCTACACTGGGAAAACATATTGCATGGCAAAAATATTAATCATAACTAATTTGCCTGCTTTTGATGACGCAGTTTAAAGATAAATTATGTTGGTATTTGAAAGCTTGTGGTGTTTTAGTGATACTCCCACACTAGCTTTGTGTAGGGAGGATCATGTTTTTAACTGCAATTCACAAAATGGGTTAGATAAATCATGGGCCAGGATAGACCTTTTCAATTTGTGGCTCAGTGCCTGAAGTTTTCAAGGCGCGCTGACCAGTGGTGGGCTCTCAGTAGAAGTATGAGGAAGAAATGGATGAACAGTCCTGTCCCTGGGTGTGAGACGTACGCTTAGATTTCTTCTCAGCATAGTTTTGTTATTAAGCAAATGCTGTTTTATAATTCGTCACAAAATGCCTTTGAAACAATGAGGATGAAGCCAGATATGCAAAGTTTTCTGTGCTGTCTCTGTCTGAAAAGTGCTTTCTGGCTCTTGGGAGGGTACAATTCCCTTTCCTGTTTCCATTCATCTGGTCAGTTTTCCTGTTGCCCTTTGCAGAACTCTAACTGGACCGTTTCCTTGTCCAAGCCTGCCTCAGGGGAATCACCTAGAAGCCAGAGAAACGGTTTGAGATTCAGAACCCTCCAGAAGTCATCTGGATGGGAGATCTCTGTGGGGGATCCGGTTTTCAAAAACTAATAAAGTGACATTGTCTAGAAAGAATGTTTTAATTAGACAGTAAAATTTAGGTTTTGAGCTAGGGGGAGAGAGGGCCATTTTTCTTCCATGTAGATTAGTTCATCATGCTTCTGTGAGGGCTGGGTGAAGCTGAACACCATCAGCTTTATCTCTGGTTAATGTAAGGGCAGATGGTGACTTGAGTTTGACAGTTTGTGCAGACAGAGGGCTTTGGAACCAAGTGGACACCACTGACTTTGCTCTGCACACTGTTTTTGTATTAGGTCCAGCTGCCCATTAGTACAGGTATGAACACCAATCCCTCCTTCCCCGCCCCAGTAACTTCACATTAAAAACTACCTCCTTCAGGACGCAGTCCTCCTATTTCCCCCTACATACTTTAGCTTTTCCTTCCACCCATTTTCATGAGGCATTGAGAAGAGCTGAATATGTGTGGTGGGTGCTTAGAGCACAGAATAAAATTTGAAGGTTACAGTTTTCTTCATTACCACTGGGAGACAGTAGAGATGGTGGCTGCTAGGAGGACAGGGTAGGTCTGAGGTGAGCCCCAGAGAGGAGTGCGGGAGGTCAGTGCCCCAGACATTTGCTTGTACCTGTGAAAGCTCTGTAGTAGTAGCCCTTGGAGTTGCATCCAGGGATTTTAGTTTTTACCAGTTAAATAAAGAAGAGGGGGACAAAGTCAATACTTCTGTACTGAAGCTAGAAAAATTTAAAAACCCAGGGCCCCAGTGCTTTTGAGTAACAGATGGATTCGATTTTCCAATTGAGAAGTCTTTAGGTAGAGTAAGCTCCTTGATACTAGAGAGAAAAGCAAGCAGGGGACGCATAAAAATATATATTAACGGGGCATAAGAGAAACCAATACAAGTAAACAAGGAAATAATTTAGTTCCTCCCAAAAGTAAATATTGACAAGACATGGAACAAGCAGCTATTATTCACTGCACATATACAAATGACAGGACTCAAACCTCTCTTCAGAATGTCAGCCTTATGCAGTCCTTCCTGTTATCAAGGAGCCCTGTCACATAAAACTCTCAAAAGCACAAATGAACTTCACAGTATGAGAAAGGCAAAAATAGATAGCCTGGAAATATTTGCTGCCATTAACACAAAAGTGACCAGAAAAATCTGCAAGCAGGACTTTGGGAATACAGTTGTAGGCAGACAGGTTAATTCCCCAAGAAAACTGTCTAAACAATCCTGGAACTGTTCATTATGTTTATTTGTAGGAGGTGTTTAGTGATTTGGTGCAGGTTTTTATTTTGTCCTTTTGTGGCTTAGGATCAAGTGATCTCGATGAATGCCCAAACACCTTGGGGGTACAGGGGCAAGGCCTTGAGAAGTTGGGGGATTTAGAGAGAACAGATGGCCCTAAAAGATAATGAGTGGGCGGACTAAAGTGATGAATAGAAGGGGAAAATATTGAATTCATTTCAGCACAACTGTATCATCCTTTGAAGAATAATCCAAAACACATTCCAGACATTAATTGCAAAATTTCTGAAAAATGTGGGTGTGTTTAACATCTCTCAGGCAGTAGTGCCAGCAAAAGGGATGACGGTGCAGTGTTAGTGAGTAAACAGGGGGGTAGGAGTGGTGAAGTGAGTGAAAGCTAATGTATTTGGTGCAGCAGGTGCCTGTAACAGTGTTCTGTATGGCAGGTTTTGTATCAGGATTTTGGAGACACCCCACAAAAGCTCCTACAGTTCTTGGAGGACGAAGTCCATGCATGCATGCCTAGCACACTGAGAGTCTGCTTTCTTAGAAGTCTAGTTCTCCAAAGCTGCATTTGCAGAGA